ATGGGTTTAAGTATTTTGTAATCTTTGTTGATGACTTTTCAAGGATGACATAGATCTATCTTATGAAAGACCGTAGTGAATTGTTCTCTATTTTTCAGAAATTTCATGCTGAAAATACGCACTCAATTTGGTGTTCATATGAAAATACTTCGCTCCGATAATGCCAAAGARTACATCTCCTCACCATTTCAGCAATACCTAGAACATCATGGAAAAATACATCTCCTCACCATGTCTGCGTACCTAAATTATATCAATTTTGGAAGACTAAGTTTGTCGGTCGTGGCAGTGGCTATAATATCCTTGGGTCTTATGGATGCAGGCACGAAGGATGCTCGACTTGCAGGCAAGATACACAACCTCTCGTGGAAAAACCATAAGGAAGCCCATCAACTCTTCGGTGTAAACTTCTTAATTCTCAGCTTCATTTGGTGTTCTCGTTTGGATGTATGGGTTACTAAATTGCTTTGGTTATATGCGTAGTTTATGATTTCTCGAGGCGTTGCTACTTTTGGCGATCGGCTTACTGACTGCTATGCCTTACCCTTGTTCCCGGTTTTCGATATCAATGTAAGTATAGGAACCATCCCGTGCTTAATTCAGTTCCATTTTCTTTTAATTCTGTAGGATAACTGAATGGGTGTTTGTTGTGGGTGTGTGGGTTACTAATTGCTCTATTGCCATTGTCGTGCTTGTAACTTTTCTGAATTTATTAAAAATCCTCATCACCGACATGTTCATGCATTGCCACTTTCAGGAGATTGCATCCGCGGAGCCGATTCAAGCGTTCGAATTGTAGCAGTGAACARCCATGGCCTCGCATACGCTGGAGTCCAGAATGAGCCACTCTAAYCCAYTTCTTCTGTATACACTCTTAAACTTTTTCTTCTCCACCTATTTCTAATTAGATATTCTTGGCAGGTGAGTGGCGTGGGCGCAGAATGAAGGCTCGGAAGTGAAACGGATTCAGAAGCGGAACGGGTATGTGTTTGCTGTAGAATGTCTGCATCCCTAAATTTGAACATTTTTGGAATATATGGCTTGCCAGTTGTGGAGGTTACCATAATATCCTTGGTTCTTATGGGTGTAGGCACGAAGAATGCTCGACTTGCGAGCAAGATGCGCAACCTCTCACGGGAATACTATAACGAAGCCGATCAACTCTTCGGTGTAAGATTCTCAACTTTCCACTTCATTCCATGTTCTCTTTTGGCTCTCACGAAGAATGCTCGCATTGTCAACTGCCGTATCAGAATGACTACGATACTGTAAGCCAACATTGCTTGTATCTGTTTAAACTTYTTATAAGGGCTTCTATTGCTTTATTGCCGTTTTTGTGCTTTTAACTTTTTTTAATTTTCGAATACTCCCCTTGGCTTCTACAGGCATTGCCACTCCCATGAGATTGCATCATTGGAGCTGATTCAAGCGTTCGAATTGGAGCAGTAGTTCGCCGAGGCCTTGCATACGCTGGAGTCCAAAATAAGCCACTCTAACCCATTTCTTCTATATTCGCTTCTAAACTATTTCTTGTCCCCCTGTTTCTGATCAGATATTCTTGACAGGTGAAGGGCGTGAGCGCAAAGGAGACTCGGAAGTGATACGGATGCGGAAGCTGCACAGGTATGTGTTTTTCGTACTATGTCTGCACACCTAAATTATATCATTTTTGGAAGACAAGGTTGGTCGGTCGTGGCAGTGGCTATAATATCCTTTTGTCTTATGGGTGCAGGCACGAAGAATGCCCGACTTGCGGGCAAGATACACAACCTCTCGCGGAAAAACTATAAGGAAGCCGATCAACTCCTCGATGTAAGCTTCTTAATTCTCAGCTTCATTTGGTGTTCTCGTTTGGATATATGGGTTACTATATACACTCTTAAACTTTTCCTTTCCACCTATTTCTGATTAGAAATTCTTGACAGGTGAATGGCGTGGGTGCGGAAAGGAGACTCGGAAGTGATATGGATTCAGAAGCGGCACAGGTATGTGTTTGGTTCTTATGGGCTGGCACAAAGAATGCTCGATTTGCATGCAAGTTGTGCAACCTCTCACGGCTTTACTGTAAGGAAGCTGGTCCAGTCTTAGGTGTAAGCTTCTCAACTCTCCACTTCATTCTGTGTCCTCTTTTGGGTGTATGGCTTACTAATTTGCTCTGGTTATATGTGTAGTTTTCGATTTCTCGAGGCGTTGCTACTTTTGGGGAGGGCTTGCCGACTATTGCGCCATTCTATTGTTTCCAGTTTCCGATAACAATGTAAGTATATAGGACACATCCCTTGCTTAATGGACTTCCATTTTCTTTTAATTCCTTCAGATAAGTGACTAACTATTTCTCATCAAGCTTTGAGTGGTGGCTCGACCGGAAATTGGCCACCATTCAAGATAGGGCTGTCAACGAGTGGTATCCGGGTCCGGTCTAGGTAGAAGCACTCCCAAACCGATCATTAATCAGGACAAAATCATAGACCCAAAACCGTCCATTTTAACTTAAAATTTAGGTCGAAACAATAACATAGGTTAAAAACCAAACCATTTAAACTAAAAATAAACCGCTTTTCTAATTTAAATCGCAAACTAAAGTTTAAACTTTAATCATATATCGTTAATAAAACTGATAAAAAATACTAAATTATTTATATGTTAAAATGTTAAACACCTTTATTTATCTATCTATCAGATTCGACACTTTAAACCAATGATAAGAGTAAAACTATAAGATAACGAAGGAATTATTATATATGGCTAACAAAATAATCGGTTTTGGGCATGAATCCATTCGGGTGGGGCGAGAACCGGAACCGACCCAATTATTTGTTTCAACATAATCATGGAACCGGATCCTTTATAAATGGTTTGGTCTATTCGGGCTAGTCGGGTAGACCTGAACCGTTGACAACCCCTTCAAGAACATGAACGATGATAGCGATTGTGTTGCAGCAAGGTTGGTATCCCTTTTTCTTCTCCATTCGGATTTGTACTTCGAGGTAAGGATCTTTCAAAACCGTACTCGGTGTTCATAACTTTGTTATTGAAGCATATGATTTAGTCGTGCGAAGTTGATTTAGGATTCGCACGAATTAATAGATTCTTCTAATGCAATTTCTGCCTTATCATTGCAGGCACGAAGAATGCTCGACTTGCGGGCAAGATGCGCAACCTCTCGTGGCAAAACTATAAGGAAGCCTATCAACTCTTCGGTGTAAGCTTCGCAATTCTCATCTTCATTCGGTGTTCTCATTTGGGTGTTTGGGTTACTAAATTGCTTTGGTTATATGCGTAGTTTTAGATTGCTCGAGGCGTTGCTACTTTTGGCGATCGGCTTGCCGACTCCTGCGCCTTACCATTGTTCTCGGTTTTCGATATAAATGTAAGTATTGGAATCATCCTGTGCTTAATTCAGTGCTGTTTTCTTTTAATTCCGTAGGATAACTGACTAGATGTTTCTTGTGGGCGTGTGTGGGTTACTAATTGCTCTATTGCTGTTGTTGCGCTTGTAATTTTTCTTAATTTATTAATAACCCTCATGATTGACATATTCATGCATTGCCACTTTCAGAAGATTGCATCCGTGGAGTCGATTCAAGTTTTCGAATTGTAGCAGGGATCAGCCATGACCTCACATACGCTGGAGTCCGGAATGAGCCACTCTAACCCATTTCTTCTATATTCACTTCTAAACTATTTCTTCTCCACCTGTTTCTGATTTGATATTCTTGACAAGTGAATGGCGTGGGCGCGGAAAGGAGACTCAGAAGTGATACGGATGCGGAAGCGGCATAGGTATGTGTTTGTTGTAGAATGTCTACATCCCTAAATTTTAACATTTTTGGTAGATAAGGTTTGCCGGTTGTGGAGGTGACCATAATATCCTTGGTTTTTATGGGTGTAGGCACAAAGAATGCTCGACTTGCGGGCAAGATGTGCAACTTCTCGCGGGAATACTATAAGGAAGCCGATCAACTCTTCAGTGTAATCTTCTCAATTCTCAGCTTCATTCGGTGTTCTCGTTTGGGTGTATGGGTTACTGAATTGCTTTGGTTATATGCGTAATTTTATGTTGCTACTTTTGGTGATCAGCTTGCCGTCTCCTATGCCTTACCATTATTCCCGGTTTTCGATATCAATGTAAGTTTAGGAAACATCCTGTGCTTATTTCAGTCTCATTTTCTTTTAATTCCAAAGGATAGCTGACTGGATGTTTCTTGTGAGTGTGTGGGTTACTAATTACTGTATTGCCGTTGTTGTGCTTGTAACTTTTCTTAATTTATTAATAATCCTCATGACTGACATCTTCATGGATTGCCACTTTCAGGTGATTGCATCAGCGGAGCTGATTCAAGCATTCGAATTTAGTAGTGATTAGCCATGGCCTTGAATACGTTGGAGTCCAGAATGAGCCGCTCTGACCCATTTCTTCTATATTCACTCTTAAATTTTTTCTTCTCCACCAGTTTCTAATTAGATATTCTTGATAGGTGAATGCCGTGGGCGCAGAGAGGAGACATGGAAGTGATACAGTTTCGAGAACTGCACAGGTATCTGTTTGTTGTAGAATTTCTGCATCCCTAAATTTTATCACTTTTGGAAGGCAAGGTTTTCTGGTTGTGGATGTGGCCATAATATTCTTGTTTCTTATGGGAAGGCATGAAGAATGCTCGATTTGCTTGCAAGCTGTGCAACCTCTCGCAGCTTTACTATAAAGAAGCTGGTCCACTCTTCGGTGTAATTTTCTCAACTCTCCACTTCATTTTGTGTCCTCTTTTGGGCATATGGCTTACTAATTTGCTCTGTTTATATGTGTAGTTTTGGATTGCTCGAGGCATTGCTACTTTTGGGGAGGACTTGCCGACTCTTGCGCCTTACTATTGTTTCCGGTTTTCGATAACAATGTAAGTATAGGACACATCCCTTTCTTAATTGACTTCCATTTTCTTTTAATTCCTTCAGATAAGTGACTGACTATTTCTCATCAAGCTTTGAGTGGTGGCTTGACCGGAAATTGGCCGTCATTCAAGATAGGGCTGTCAACGGGTGGGATCCGGGTCCGGTCTAGGTAGAAGCACTCCCAAACCAATCATTAATCGGGACAAAATCATTGACCCAAAACCGTCCATTTTAACTTAAAATTATGGTTGAAACAAAAACATAGGCTAAAAACTGTACCATAAACTAAAAAAGCCACTTTTCTTATTTAAATCGCAAACTAAAATTTAAACTTTAATCATATATCGTTAATAAAATTGATAGAAAAATATTAAATTATTTATATGTTAAAACATTAAACACCTTTATTTATTTATCTATCAGATTTGACAATTTAAACCTATGATAAGAGAAAAACTATAAGAAAACGAAGGGAATATTATATATGGCTAACAAAATAATCGGTTTTGGGCATGAATCGATTCGGGAGGGGCGAGTACCGGAACCGACCCAATTATTTATTTCAACATAATCATGGAACCGGATCCTTTATAAATGGTTGGGTCTATTCGGGCCAGTCGGGTAGACCTGAACCGTTGACAGCCCCTTCAAGAACACAAACGATGAGAGCGATTGTGCTGTAGCAAGGTTGGTATCCCTTTTTCCTCTCCATTCGGACCTGTACTTCGTGGTAAGGACCTTTCAAAACCGCATTCGATGTTCATACCTTTGTTATTGAAGCATATGATTCTGTTGTGCGAAGTAGATTTTGGACTCACACGAATTAATAAATTCTTCAAACGCAATTTCTGCCTTGTCATTGCAGGACTATTCTAATGGGTTCGCATTGTCAACGGTGGTATCAAAATGACTGCGATAGTGTTGGTCTGCGTTGCTTGTATATGTTGAAACTTTTTTCGACAAGGTTTTCTGGTTGTGGAGGTGACTATAATATCCTTGGTTCTTATGTGTGCAGGCACGAAGAATGCTCGAATTGCGGGCAAGATGCGCAATCTCTCACTGCATTTTTATAAAGAAGCCGATAAACTCTTCGGTGTAAATTTCTCAATTCTCCTGTTCATTCGTTGTTCTCTTGTGGGTGGATGGGTTACTAATTTTCTTGGGTTATATGTGTAGTTTTGGGCATTGCAACTTTTGGGGATAGGCTTGTCAACTCCTACGCATTACCATTGTTTCCGGTTTTTGATATCAATGTAAGAATAGGACATATCCCGAGCTTTATTGACTTCTATTATCTTGTAATTCTGTAGGATAAGCGATTGGATGTTTCTTGGGGGTGTGTGGGTTACTAATTGCTCTATTGCTGTTGTTGTGCATGTAACTTTTCTTAATTTTTTAATACTCCTCTTGACTAGCATATTCCAGCATTGCCGCTTTCAGGAAATTGTGTCTGCTGAGCTAATTCAAGCGTTCGAATTGTAGTAGTAATCAGCCATGGCCTTGCATACGCTGGAGTCCAAAATGAGCCAGTCTAACCCATTTCTTCTATATTCACTCTTAAATTTTTTCTTCTCCACCTGTTTCTGATTAGATATTCTTGATTGGTGAATGGTGTGGGCGTGGAAAGGAGACTCGGAACTGATACGGATTCGAAAGCGGCAGAGGTTTGTGTTTGTTGTAGAATGCCTACTTCCCTAAATTTTATCATTTT